AATCTTTACAAAATTGCTTTCGTATTCAAAATGTCATCTAGTGAATTGTGATTAACTCTGTAGCTCCAGTTTCTTTTCGTACCGATACCCACCCCCATTTTTTTCGGCTCGGGCGATACTTTTCTAGGCACTTCTCAGGAGTTTCGAATCCATTGGATATGGATTTTGAACGATTTTAAATTTTCTCAGTCTCAGTGGTAAGCTAGTACAGTTGAGGCCAAAATACCAGAAAGTACTGATACCTGTTGATTAGTTCGCTGAACCCAACTGAACCCCCCAACTCCTTCTTTGCGTACGTGTTAGCTGCGGGAGGGAAGAGAGGGGTATGGTCGTTGACGGACGGATGCGAAAAGCTGGTTTGTCAGATTTTTTGTTCACCTTGACACAACCGATGAATCTTTGTATAATCGGGCGGCGGATATTCGCCGATGTGACTTCGCAATGTGACCGAATTGGTCTGGTGCTCCGCCCATCAAAGGTGTATCATCATGGTCTCCTCCTTTTCTACGTGCAATCTCAATTGCTTCGTTTGACTATCAGGTCTCACTGAAAGTCAAGGGTGAAAGTAAACGGTATGACCGAATTCCAGACTGTACGTTTTGCTCGAATTCCTCTTTTCCCGATCGCTGTTTTCTGTGTCGTTTTATTGCTGACCCTATAAACGATTTTCCCATCTTTTGCGCCTTATTCCAAAGAGAATTTGATACCCGCGTGGACTTTGAGGACCTCCAGTATTTATATCTCACGGAAATACTGCGAGGCCGAAGTGTAAGAGTGGGGGAATGACATCATAAATGGGAGGTGGTTTCTGGGACCCTTCTGTGTGGGTATAAAACTCACTTTCATTCACACTTTTTGCTCGTGCTGATAGATTTCTGAACGGTCGGTAAATGCAATGAAAAATGGGGGGGATTTCCCATGGGATGGTCAGAGTATCTAGATAAAATCCTTGAACGTTTCGGCCTGAAAAAGTATGTTGATGGAAGGGGTCGGAACAGAGGATCCCAGTGAAAAATTGTCATAGTGATCGGATCGTGGGGAAATTTTGTCGTCATCTACGTGGACCATAACATTCCTTGACATAATGGGTCTGTTTTCGATTTTGCCCCACCAATCCATCGATTCCCCGCAGGTGATGCCCTTTCTGGCTCCCATCAAATTCCCTCCCCTATTCCCCTACCTCTAATAGCGTTCTAAATGGGGATGTTGCAATGGCTAGCGGTACCGCCAGTTTATTACCATTGGATCGTTTCCTATGCAAGCCTTCTGAGCCTTCCTAATCCTCTGGCCACCTTGTACTCCTTGATCAATTGCTATTTGTCTATGTAATGGTTTGACGGGTCTATTGTACGCATTAATAAGTAAACAAGTAAACAAATTTTATGAGTCCATGCTGGTCATATACCTAGGGAGGTGGGACTACTGGTTTCGACGTTGGCTGACTATTACAATGCCATATAGGGTCAAAGACGAGCCTGAATGTCTCCGCCATTCTCCTTGGAGCATGCAGTATCTCAAAAAATGTCGTAACCGCTAGGATTTCCAGTTCTTTACTACTTCAGTTTGACATCCGAATGGCGCGTTCATTGTCTTATGCGTTCCGGCCTTTCCACGGAACTTATAAAACCCCAGTAGCCGGCCGTCAGACGTGAACCTGCCCCTGCTCTTGAAGTCGTCCTGGCCCTTCTTCTATACAATACGTTCGGGGTTGCGGCCACCAGACGGACCAGTCACGGTGTCGTTCCTGACGAGTCTGGTAACTTATAATCAATTCCTGGGTCCGGGATTTGATGTTGGGACCTTGCGTATGGGGGTGGTGTTTGCTCGTTCTGCTCCATAATTGCCCTGAGTCACAGAGTGGGAGTTCCAACAGAGTTTGGGTTGTTGAAAGCGAATACTTTCGAAGTGCATGGCTTAGTGTTCCTTCGTGAAACGCTCTTCGGTCCCATCCCTTTAACCCCTTCCCATAGCGATTTTCTTCCCGGATAACTGCGTCAGCCATTTGTTGAAATGATGATTGATGGTTAGTGTAAATCAGAAAATTGCTTTCGTCGATAGATTGAAGACAGATTGCGGGTGACCCAGATTGGGATAGGAGCAACACCAACGCGAGCGCGACTAGTAGGGGTATCTGAACGATAGCCAACCGTGCGGACGGAATCGTTCAGGCGGTGGGATGTCTACAGCCGACGAAACCATCAGATCAGCTGGAGGCGGGACACCTTCACCACCAACCGCTATTTCGAAGAGATTGAACACCACGATATTCGTAGAGCGAGCGTGTGCGCGCTCGACCCGATTACCTTCCTACGGCCATGTTTTTGGCGCCACCCTGGCGTGACGACGGGGCGCCATCTCCTACGTGGAGCCGCTCGTCTAATGCTGTTTTCCACCATATCCCCTGCTTTCTGGACAGGATTTTACACAAATTTCGATTTGCTACCGTAATTTGGATGACCAAAAAAGTCTGATTACCGTACTTGTTTGTTTTGAAAATTTGTTCCATGTTCAGTTTATACTTTACTTTGCACATTCGCGAGTTTTTGATATTTTGAGCTGGACTTCCGTTACTGTCCAGATATTTTTAGTTTACGCTTCCACGTCTGGTTATTCCGTATTTTCAATATTTTCGCTGCCCCATTGCTTATTTCACTATTACCGTAATCCCTTCGAGACCCACCCCGCGATGTACTTTGAGTTCTTGTAAGGACTACCTCAAGTTTCCGGTCTTTCTTAGGTTTCATGAGCACGATTCAACTGATCTACTACTAAAAAAGAAACCTATCGGGTGATAACCCAACACCAACCCTAAAAGCGTGAACCCATCCAGTTATGTCCAACATTCGGGTTCTATCGATGCATATAGTTGCCCCGGTCTGTCACTTAATGGGGAGCAAAAGTGCGAAGCTCTCTTGCAATTCAATTTTTGCTCCTCCCTCTGTTCGTTTTTATTCTATCATCCCAGTTAAACTCATTCAATGGGGACTAGTGAAGTACCGGGTGATCAAGTAGGAACTAGCTGAGTAAGCGGCTACGGCCTTTTTGATCGGTCTCAAAGCGGCGGCTACGTTGAGCTCTTGGTAATGTCGCATAAAAAGCTTTTGATTTTTTCCGAGCTTTAGCCTCAGTGATAGCGGACAGCATCATAACAGCATTCCACCAACGGAACATGCTCGGCCACTAAACACAAGAATGCAACAGGTTCGGATGTAGTTGAACGGGATCCAAGAAAAACTGGTCTCGTTGCTTTTGTGGGTTCCTGAGGCTCTATTGCCTTCTAGTAGCTTCCATTCTTGGACCTCCTATAGGATTCTTTTACACAGGTACCGTTTCCTGGGTACAAATTCTTCGAGGTCAATCGGGGTAGGCATTCGGACTTGGTGTCCTTTTCCTTTTCTTCAATATTTCTATTTTCTAAAGCATTTTTTCAACATGATTACCTGATCTTAGACAATCGATTTCTATTGAAGTAACTTGCTGTGTGTCACGGAAATGTATGTTGCTATATGGTCAGGCGTGCTCATTGTAGACTTCATCTTCTCAGAGAAATACCGTACCGATTACCGTATAGCTGGAAAGTTATACCACGATCAAAGATGAAGGATGTCGCACTCGCCTTACTCAAGCCTATTTCAAATAAGCGATATTTGACTTGCTTTTAAAATCTTACTGGAGGGTACATCACTTCAGTACAGTAGTATATTTGCAGTGAGCTACGGCTCCAGGAATTTCGGTTTTTTAAGAATGTTTAGTAAAAAAAGACCGACCAGGGAAGCGATGGGGGGCTTATTGAAGTTAGGAAGAGTCGCATCCGCAGTTCAGTCCAAGACTGTTCGAGATGCGGTGCAAGGCCTCTTAGCTAGCGCTACTCCACTGCGGCCCCGATCCAACTCAATCAAAAAGCATGAAGAAATTTTCGATACGAACTTATCCGCTTCGACTTTTAACTGGCTGCCTACCGCAAAATGTCAAGAATTCAGCTATTTCTTAAACGACACCCTATCTATCAAATCATGGTCATTGTGGGAAATTGGCTTATTGACTGTTTATGTTTTCAATCTTCCGAATCGTGCCTATTTTCCTTCCTGTTATTTCCCCCATTCTTTCGGCTAACCATGGAGCTTATTCGAGCTCTACTAGCCGGTCTCCATCTCTCAGGTTGACCATATCGGTAGTCATGAAGGCGATGTTCGAATTTCAAAGTCATTGAGGCACATACGTATTCATGTATGAGTCAGATGCATGGCACGTCTCAAAGAGATCAAGTTTAGTCTTTTTGCAACTAACGTGTCCTTGAATTGGAGCTACTCGTGAGCAAAAGCCTTTAATACGCACTAGGGACTCGATCCTGGTTAGAGACCGTAACTTCTTCACGGTGATATCTTGAAGGACTTCCCTTCCTAGTTCCTCTAATTCCAATAATACAGTAAGCTTCCAGAAAGTTCAATCGATATATTGATCTTCTTTGATTCTTCATTGCTTCGGCGGCTGAAATGGATTGTCCCAGATAGGAAATCCAATCGCAGTGTTTCTTTTTGGGCGTGGTCGTAATACGCTGTTAAGAAACAAGGTTAACGACTCTTCGGCTGTTAGGCCATCTTCTCTACCCATGGATCTTGGATCTGTCCGCCTATCAAAAAGCATAGTAACCAAAAATAGCTGACGTCTCCAAATAACTTTACCTGAATTCCGAAAACTCTCTGGATTTCCTTTCCTAGCAGGTTTCCTCCTCAATCGTTGGGGCGATCAAGGAGGGCCGATGTGGTAAATTGCGTAAGCGAACGAGTTTTTTATAGCTAGAAACTCGTTGTTGTGATGATGAATAGCACCATAGATGTTGCTGCTTTTGAGATGTCACAGGACTGTCTCCCTCAACCCTCAACAACTTTAGTTCGTTCGCCTTTTCTGGGACGTCTCTGCCCTCATTTTCGTGATTTTCAATCGCCTGATTTCTCGTTCGTTTCCTATGAATATTCAATCGAATATTTCCATTTTTAGGCATGCGCTTGCTTTGCGTTTTGTCTCTGGTGATTGGTGTGGTGGCCAGTACGGCTACGGTACAAGCAGCTTGTCCACCGAATACATTCACATGCAAAGATGGCTCATGTATACCAGAGGATTGGGTTGGTGACGGTGAAGCGGATTGTGATGACAGGTGAGCAATGAAAAACGGCAGCGGCCCACACTAGTCCTCCGCTGACCACCGGTCACCATTAAATCGTATTAGTGTGAACAGCCAGCTAGTTTTGGATTACTGTAGTGCAGAACAAACTTCGAATCGAGCGCATTTTCCACAAATGGGGGAGATTTCGATACGCAACGATTTTTCTGGTTGTTGTGTGATTCTATACAAATTGTGGCTTATTTTTGAAATTTAATAATTATTATCAAACCTTTATTACCAAGTGACCTGCATTCTCTTTGAATTGAATGGGGTCCCTCGGAAGGACAACTTTAAAAATTCCCGATTTTTCTGTTTCGGTAACTATATATTAAGAGTGATGAACATCTGGTAGAGCTCATTATTACAGCTTATCATTCATTGTTACTATCTTTTTTCTGGATTTATTTGTTACTAATATCACTAATATTATTACCATTATTGTGGCTAATATTTTTGTTGCTATTTTTTATTGAAAGTACAGTTTACCATAAAGATGGTTTCTGAGTCTTAGGATCCCTGAAAAGAACCTGTGGTACCTCGGGATGAAAAATGAGACTTTGTTGGGCCGAAATACGACCTCGACAGGGCGCTATAAGGGCTCCAAAACCGGCTTGACTGACGTACACACCCAAAAGTGGTCGTGTTATGATGGCCTTGTTATGGCTGCACCTAGACTATGAACCGCTAGGGAGCCCATGAATAGTACGTTTATGTGGGAGACACTCAGACGGTTATACACACATAATCTCGTACAGCCTACTTTCTTATAACTTTTTTGAAGCATTAGATTCCTTGGAATCCGCCGATTTTTGGGCTTTCCTCGACAGTTTTTTTTCACGACTACATAGATAGATCGATAGCATGGATTACTGTACTGGGACGGTACAAATTGAGGAAAACACTTTTCTGTCTGGAGCGCGCAGCCGAAAAGAATCATAAGTGTCTCCCAATTATGCTTGGTTTGACCATATTCCGAGATTTTCTCCTAAATTGATTAACTGAAATAATAGAACCATACGATGATTGAGAAGATCCTCAATGATGAAATTTGGGACTTCGCAGAACCATCCCCTCAATCTGTAGATTATGAATGAGTACCAAGAGTTTCACCCTCGATCCTTCATGGCCTCCCCAAAATCAGGCTAATTTGCCCATAGAAATGGACCTGCGCCGAAGGTCTAACTTCAGGTCAGCTCCTAACTTCTACAGGGTGTCCCAAAATTATTTGCGCCAAAGTTCGGTAATTTTTAAGGTAGAAATAATCTATCAAATTCACATTATCTGTTATTAATTAGTTGCATAAGAAGGTTTCCTTGCAATATGCATGGTTGCTGATGTGGAACTCCCATTATCTTCCAGATGGAGGAGGCTCATTCAATGCCACTTGCAATCATTGACGCGCGAGAAGAGGGAGGGCGTTATGAAATTCTTTGGGATTTTTCTAATAACCGTATAGGAGGCTATGAAACGATATAGGAGAGAAGTTTAAATCAGAGACAAACCAGGAAAGATAGAAAGGTAGGATGTTTCTGAAGATATGACTATTTAAATGGTCCGTATGCCAATCGGTCGGGATCCTGGGTGACCCATCAAAAGGAAGTCAACGGGTACGGCTTTTCCGAGTTATCGCG